GTGCATGTCTCCTGTGGCCATCCTTCGTTGAACGTGGGCAGCCTCTGGAAGGGCTTGACTTTGGGTGAAGTGTCTTTCTGCAGCTGAGCAATCTGTGAAGGGGCTGATAGCTGAAGGCTTCATGGATGTTCTCCCGGAGGTTAGAGCAGCGAGTCCTTCCCTGGAGGGTGTATGCCCCGCACATCCTCATGTTTCCTACAGCCCACCCTTCACATCGTTCAGATCCACCATCTCAGGATTCTGGTGGGTCACTCTTCCTGGGAAATATTAGTGGGACAAACTAAAGTCCCCACCACTGTGGCTGCAAAATATCATCATCTCCCTCCTCCGCTATGCCTCAGCTGGCACCTCCATTGGTTTCAGTGACTTACCCGGAAGCGTGACCCAGACCGTCATTCCTGAGGGCTCCGAGCTTCTGGTCTCCAGCCCCTCTCAGGACAGAATTGCTGCATTGCCCTTTACCACTACACTCGGGTAAAGGACAATCAAGAGGCATCCAAGTGGAACGTGGGTGCCAAATATGGTTGCCCTGTCCCCATGATGTAAGAGCAGCCCTACCTCCTCTTAGTGGCAAGGACCAGTTACTTCTGCCAAGACGAAGCCTCCTCTTCTTGCCTGCTAATTTCCAGAAATGAGGATCCAAAGTACTCAGACTGCACCCTTAGCTCATAGTTCAATGGGACCCTTGCTATAGTCTCTGGCACTGGTGTTCCCCTTTGGGGTGCAGGACTTCTAACTTTGCAGAGCCCAGAGTTGCGGGGATGGAAGGCACACATTCCCCAAGAGGGTCATTGGGTGTGATGGTAAGTGAGGCCACTGCTGCTTCTACCCCTGAGTTCCTGAATCCAAGTATTTTCCAACCGGAGACCCAACAGCTTGTACAGGTCTTTGATTCAAGGTATACAATGCATCCTTGAGGATGGGACACCACTCTTGCTGAGCGTTGTCTCTGAGTGGGCCCCTGGCTGTGCCTTCAGTGGGTCATTCTAATGTTCTATTAGGCCAGTAGCTTCTTGCTGGTATAGTATGTGATGTAACCAGTGAATCCTATGGTTATGGGCACACTCCTGCACCTGCTTTGCTATAAAGGAGGACCGTGGGTCTAATGCAATGTTATGTGGGATCCTGGACCAGTAAATTAAACACTTTGTAAGATGTGTGGTGCTAAGTGAGGCCCTTCAGGCAGGAAAGGCAAGCATACACCCAGAATGTGTGTCTCTTTCTGCTCAAATGAATTTCTGGCCCTTCTAGGGTGGAAGGGACCCAATGAAGTCAACTTGCCGCCAAGTGGTCAGAGGGTTTCCTTGAGGATTGGTGTCATATTGGAGGCTCAGTGTTGGTCTTTGCTGCTGGTGTTTGGATATACAGAGGAGGCAAGCGACTGTAATTGTGACGATGTACCCTGGGCAGTGTTTCCTGTCTGGGGCTTGGAATTTGCGACACAAGCTTATATCTTTGTTGGCAAATGGAGCTTACTGCTTTGTATCTGAAGGAGCTCTACGTTTAGGGGCAGCCGTCTGGCCCAGAGGAGCATCGACTGCAATGTTTTAAAAACTGCATATTAGTGTCTACAACCTTGTTCGTAGGAGATGTCCAGGCTTCCCCTCCTAGAGGTTCTGATCCAATTGGTTTGGGCACCAATCCCCCTTTGGGGAGTCTAACGTGGAACCAGGGTGAGAACCCCATATTAGATTAGTGAAAATTAGGTTAGTGAAACCCTATATTATGGGTAGTGAAATAAAATGAGGTCTTGATTAGCACTTTTTCCTCCCTTAAAACATAGAAAGGTACTGTTATTATCCTCATTTGACATATGAAGGAACTCACGCCGGAAGGGCTGAGTGACCCATCACAGCACTAGAAAGCAGCCATGTCAAGATTCCAACCAGGTTGGCTCGGGCAGCCACCTTTTATCCACAAACAAATGATACACAAATAAGATACAGATACCAGGGGGACCTGCTCAACATTTATTACTGATAAATCTCATAATCAAGTAATTAAACCATGATGGCAAATGCTGAGTCCTTAAGGCAAGGCCTGAATCTCACTCTTGTTCCTGTCCCCCACTAGGGGCCAGTGGGGCCTCTGGCTACATCTCAACAAATACCCATCTGCCTTCTCCCAGAAACATCTACTGACTGATCATCATAACCAATGTTTATCGACAGTTGCCGTGTGCCAGGAACTGTCATTTGTAATCTTTGCCACAATCCTGTGAAGTAACTGATACGATTACCTCCATGTTGCAAATGAGGAGACTGACCGGCCCCGTTTCGGAGCCTGAAACCCAAATTGTGGGACCGCAGGGTTCATTCTCTCTCACTGGTGAAAGGGTCCACAGAGAACAGCTTATGAAAGTAGGCGGGGGGCGGGTATGAAGACATCAGGAAAGAGGCAGAGACTGATTGTTGATTGTTCACTCCTTTGCCAGGAGTGCCCGTCCCTATTTATCCTACCTACACTTCTGGCCCCACCTCAAAGATCGCCTCCTCCAGGAAGCCTGCCTTCCTACAAGCTGCAGTTACTTGCACCTCCTGCCTTGTGGTTCACGCCTCGTCTTCCCCACTGGAAGCTGGAGCTCCTTGAAGGTCGGGCTGGGTCCCACTCAAGAGGCATTCCCCTGACCGGCTCAGCAAGCTCTTACCGGTGGGTTGAGCCTGTGCCTCCCCCAGGGCAGAGGGTCTCTCACCCTCTGGGCTTTTCCTCCACGGGCTCCACTTCCCTTTCTTCCTCCTCTTCTTCTCCCTCCTCCTTCTCCTACTTCCTCCGCTCTTTCCTCCCCACCCTCTTTTCTCCCTCCTTCTTCTTCCCGGTGGCGCCCAGT